TGGCTGTCAACCCAACGGTCGGCAGTTTGAATCCACCAGCTGCTCCTTGGAAACCCTATGGAGCAGTTCTACTCTGTCCTGTAGGGTTGCTGTGAGTCAGAATCGATTCGATGGCAACAGGTTTGGTTTTTGGTTTTACAAGTAGGGAGTTCATACAAGTTATGTCAGCAACATTCTTAATCATACTATGCAGGCACGATGGGGTTTATGTATAACCTCCAAGCAAATGCAGGATTCAAATGGAGGCGGGCAGCCCAGCAAAGGAAATGATTTTCTGATACAACACCGTAGGGGAGGAAGCCAGGTAAAGAATACAGCACTGTGGGGGCTCTGTCTCAATAACACTTTTATGCATATATAGGGCTATAAGAAGATCAAGAAACCAATATGTGTGTATAATAATTTTATAACTATTAGTCCCACATTTGAGCTGGATCATGTCACTTAATAAAAAAAATTTTTTTTCAGTCTTGTATAAAGTTTTCTTTGGCCATATTTTTTATCATATTGCTTTGGCTTATAGTTTTAATAACTATATTATTCAACAATATCACTAAATGTTCATGTTGTAAATAACATTAACTATAATGTATAGGATTAGACTTCTGATAATTGTGGCATTCAGACATCAGGCAAGTCTTCATATAGTACACAATTATAAAAACTGGACAAAATTATTAAGAATAGCTATTTGAAGAAACTGAAAAATGATCAAAAGTGGCAGAAACTAGAGAAGAGTTAACTCTTGAAAGACTGTTACTATATTGCCAGTTTGTGAATTTTTTGCCTAGGAGTGCTCAACCCCCTCAACTCTGGCTGTGAAAAACCACAGCCTCACCAGCTCAATCTGGCAGATGACAAAGTGTAAAGTAGCAGAGCAGCTGGAAACTTAAGGGAGAAATTCTGCAATGAGGAAGTCATGGAAGGGCTGAGATTGAAAATCTTGAGTACAAACTCTGCCTAAATCCCTAGCTGACCATACCGCAAATGCACACAGGAGCCCCAGGAAGCCAAGCAAAAAGGCAAGCAGAAAGTGGGGGTGAGAGTGGGGGTGGGGGGCTGCGCTTGAAAGGCAGAACTGATCCTGATAAGATTTGTGAGCTTGCTGCACGTTAGACTGAGTTTGTTCTCCAATCCACACACAGCTCAGGTGGCAGGAATTGAAAGCATTACTGGTTTGAAACATCAGAGGAACAAACTTGGGACTAGCAGAACAAAGGGAAATTTCTGGGATGTGCCCAGTTAACAATATATACCTTTCAGCTCTAAAACCACCCATCTTTGCCCTGCTTTGTGCTGCTGGAGCTGGACCATGTAAGCATTTCTCCTTTGCCAGCCGGTGCGTTGTTGGGCTTTGTCAGCAGAGGAAGGGGCTTCTCTCTTCCTGGGTCTTGTGTACTTGTTTTTCCTCCTATGGTGTGGTTGCCAGAATTGCAGCATGTCTAGTCATGCTTCCTGTCTAGTGAGTTTGTTTGGCATCTCAGTGGACCACTTCCTGTGAACACTGTTGGACCACCAGCAACAAGGGAACTTTTCTGCCACTCAGCAGACTACTTCCTGTGTTCCGGTTCTGGCCTGTTAGCATTCTCCAGGAAGCTTCTTAACCACCTGTGAATCAAGTCCACGCTACCTATATCCTCTAGTGTGTTTCTTGGCCACTCAGCCAGCTGCTCCTATAAACCAGCTTGAGCCCACACCCTCTGGCAAGTTTCTTCAACTCTGGCATACTGATATTCCTCTGGGAGTCTCACACTCTCCAATGAGGTCTGAATCTCAGCCTTGGGGAGGAGTTGCTCTTTCAAGTTTTTTGCTCCTTCCGTGATTAAGCATTAAGGCTGCTAACCAACAGGTCACCAGCTCAAATCCACCAGCTGCTCCTTGGAAACCCTATGGGGGACAGTTCTACTTGGTTCTATAGGGTTGCTATGAGTAAGCATCTGCTCAACGGCAACAGGTTTGGTTTGGTGGTTTTTATGTACTACCTCAGTCCTAGAGGTAGTAACTGCATCCTGCAGTGGCTACTTCTGTATTCCATCATGTCCTCTTTTACTTCTTTAAATAGTTAAATATCATTTTTTAGTTAATAATTCTTTATATTAAAATTTCCTGGTTCACTACAAAACATACGACCATCTGGCACACAGTAAAACATTACTAAATATGTGAAGAGGCAGGAAAATGTGACTGATAATCAAGAGAAAAAATGAACAACAGAAACAGAACAACAAATGATTAAAATGTTGAAGTTAGAAGACGAGGACTTAAAAGAAAACTATGATAAGTAAGATAAATAGAAGAAAAATGAATGTCATGGATTGAATTGTGTCCCTCCAAAATATCTGTCAACTTGGCTAGCCCATGATTCCCAGTATTGTACGATTGTGTAAACTGATGTGATTTCCTTGTGTATTGAAAACTCTATCACCGTGATGAGGTTATATGTGATGAGGTTTACAAGAGTAGATAGTGTCTTAAATACAATCTCTTCTGAGACATAAAAGAGAGAAGCGAGCAGAGACACATGGGAACCTCACACCACCAAGAAAGCAGTGCCAGGAACAGAGCGGGTCCTTTGGACCCGAGGTTCCCGGGCTGAGATGCTCCCAGACCAAGGGAAGACTGATGCATCACAAGGACCTTCCTCCAGAGCCGACAGAGAGAGAGGGCCTTCTCCTGGAGCTGATGCCCTGAATTTGGACTTGTAGCCTACTGGACTGTGGGAGAATAAACTTCTCTTTGTTAAAGCCGTCCACTTGTGGTATTTCTGTTAGAGCAATACTAGATGACTAAGACAAGGAACAAAATGGATGAAAAGGTGAAGACTTTCAACAGATAACTAGAATCTATAAAAAGAATTTATAAAAATGATTAAAATTCTAAAACTGGAAATACAATATTTAAAATCAACTCATTGGATAGGTTTGACAGCAGATTGAAGATGGTAGAAGATAGAGTTAGTAAACTACAAGACTGGTCAATAAAAAATATTTAAATGGAAGTACCAAGAGAAAAAGATATACAAAGTGGCAGACACGGTCAAATAATCCAAATGTAATTGGAGTCCCAGAAAAGAGGAGATAGAAATTGGAGCAAAAGCAGTATTTGAAGAAGTAATGGCTGAGGATTTTTCCAAATTGATGAAGGAAAGACATTAACCCACAAATTAATGAAACCCAAGTCAGATAAATAGAAAACCATGCTAGGGTGCAAAGTAGTCAAACTGCTGAAAACCAAAGACGAGGAGAAAATATTTAGCTAGAGCTTTCTTGCTGTGCAGCTCCCTCCTCTGGGACTCTTCCCTGTAAACTCTGGCAGCTTTTGCCTTCCCAGACACCCAGCTTCTTCCCCAACTCAGTGAGACCACCAGCCTCCTCCTGGCTTCTCTGATCCTGGAAACTCATCCCAGGCTGTACTGGGTGTTAGGCAGATCACTCCGTTTACTTCCCCACTCTCAGGTATCACTTTTCTTTGTCTGATGTCCAAATGTCTTGAAAACTGTTGTTTTATACATTTTATCTGGGTTTTTTTTTGGGGGGGCGGGTAGGGAAGGCCAGGGTATGAGTCCAGTCCCTGTTATTCCATTTTGGCTTAAGGTAGAAATCTCAAAAGATTGACTTTTAAACTGAGGAAATGTGCCAATCTGAAGTTAACATGAAAGCTCAATAGTAACTGCAGCAATTATTTAGAACCAAGAAAAGATTTTGTTTGAAAAGGGGTATTTTATCACTGAAATTGCTTAGAATTTGCTGGTGCATGGGAATAATTAAAAGCAGACCACTTTGTAGTTGGTTTTATTATTGTTTCTGTCTTCTCTATAGTCAAGACACACCCTTATTGCCTACACCTGGCTCACAAGGCACCTAGCACCATACCCTTGGTATTCTATTACATTAATCTCAACTGTTGTCGTTAGGTGCCCTGGAGTTGATTTCAACTCATAGCTACGCCCTGTGACAGAGCAGAACTGCCCCATAGGGTTTTCTTGGCTGTAATCTTTACCTAAGCAGATCGCGCCAGGTGTTTCTCATGCAGAGCCAAACCATTTGAGCCATCAGCGCTCCTCCCATTTCTACTTTATTTGAAATATGTCCAAAACTGAATTCATCTTCCCCCATAAATCTGTTATTATTATATTTTCTACCTGTCAGGATGTTGGTTTATAATTATTTGTCTGTCTCTTTCCCCACAATTTGGCTGAGATACTGCAAGACTACCTCAGTTCACATTCAAAAAATGTTTGTTTAATGTATAGTGCTTCAACATATAACGCATTTAGCTATACGCTGGCGGAAGTCACTTTCCTCTCTCATTAAAAAGATTTACTGCACCGATTTCCTAAACACTGTGGGCCTGTCCATATTTGGTGTTCGGGCTACAACAAGACCAGACCCTGCCCTCCTTGGGAAGTACGCACAGTTTAGGTGGGGTGGGGCACCAATAAAGAAACAAATTACAAACGCAAGATCAACATTGGGGAAACCAAAGAGAATCCTGGGCCGGGCCTGAAAATACAATCCAAAGCAAGAACGTGCTCTTTTGCTTTTCGCAAAAGGGATTAGTGGAGGGAGGGGCCATATAATGGCTGTAGATTGACTTGGCCCTTTTTGGGTAAAAACTTAAAGGAGGGGCTAAACGGAAATCTAAAAACAGCTTTGAAGAGCCACTGCGGTGCCTATAGCACGGTTTCTACAATTCCTTGCGCCGCCGGCAGGCTGCGCGCTGTGGGGACCGGGATGAGTCCGTCCGTGGGCAGCGCCAAGAGCGCTATCCCGGTGCCCAGAGTCGGCGAAGCGCGCACCGCCGGAAGCGGAGGGACGGCGAAGCCCCGCCCCCAGCGCCGGGCCTGTCGCTCGCCTTCTCCTCCGCCCACTGCACAAGGCGCGGGCGGGGCTGCGGGCGGGGCTGCGGGCGGAAGGGCACGGAAGAAGGTGACGCTATAAGTGCGCGTCGGCGTCGCGGCCGCGGCTCCAAAGGAAGCTCGGCGGCCGCGGCCGCTGTGAGCAGGCCGGACACCCCGTCGCTGGCGGGGCTTCCCCGAGAGCTGGCGAAGGCGGGGCCGGAGTTGGAGCTGCCGCAGTGTCTGGTCTGGCGGCGGGGCAGTGGCCGGGAGCGAGGGATGTAGGTAAGCGGGAGCCGGACGTCAAATCGGCCGAATGGCTTACGGACCGAGCGACTGACCGGGCTGGCCGGCCATTCCCGCGCCGGTGCCCGCCAGCTCAGCACCCTAGCCCGGAGACCTCTAGCACTGCCCTCTCCCCACGGAGCGGAGGCAGCAGATTTCTCTCGGTGCACTGACGTGCCGTTTGGGGGACGGGGAGGGAGCTCGTCCCGAGGGACCGCTGCCCTCCCCTCTTTCTCTCCAGTCCAGCTCTACGACACAGGGACAGAGGAAGCTAGCGCCCCCCAGGCGCTCCTCCAGAAGCCGGGGAAATCTGTGAGAGGAAGCTTTAGAGTTAGAGGTCCTCCAGCTCCTGCCGTCTTGAAAGTCAAGGGTTTTTGTTTGTTCGGACACTTCTTCCTTCCTGCTTTTGGTTCTTTCCCCCGTACTCCTGGGACCCTTTTCTAGCGAAAAGGTATGGCACAGTTGAGCATCAGGGTGATTCTTGAGCCCGTTCTTGCTTTTCTGTCTATGTTAGGCAGTATCAACCTCCATTCCACCGTATATTCTCCCCCCACCCCCACTTGGGGGATGGTGCTGAGGGGATGTGGAAGATGAGAAGAGTTTTGCATTTAGAGTCGAAGAACTGAATTCCAGCCTGCCATTTGCTAGTGGTTTAATCGCACTCTAGACACTTTTACCTTCTTAACTGCTTGAAAAGTGGTTACTTTGTATAGGCTTTCCTATACCTACATGTGTTGGTTGGGAGAGTTAAGTGAAATGAAGAACGCAGAATGTTAGTCATGAAATGTTTGGGGAATCTAGTTAAAGTAGGTTTAAGAGCATCCAGGACACTCAGTGATAGGTTCCAAATTTTGTTTTTTTTTTGCCTCTTGCCCAGAACAATTAGGCTTGGCGTGGAGAAGGGTGCCAGAAGAGATGCCAGGATCTTGTGTGGTCAGAAAGCTAGCTGCAGTCTGTGCTTTGGGGTGAGCAGTATCAGGAGGAAACTAGACTCTCCCAGTCACCCACACGTCTCGTGCTTATTCATCAAGCATTATTGGTATATGAGAGATGACCCAAATCAGATATTTGTCCATTACACAAGATAGGTTTTACCCAGCTCGGCTTTCAAGGAGAAAAGCTGGGAGGTGCTTCATTTAAACCTTGACCCACTTTTCGAAGGAATCCTCTGCACCTGTATCTGAGGACCCCTCACTTTGCTTCTGAAACACTTCCTGTTCACTGAAAGTGTACAGAGAATAAATGCAAGAACTTGAATCTTTGGAGTGACTGAATGTTATAGTTGTAAGTTAATTGAAGGAGACATCCATCTATATTGGAGAAAAAAGAATATTCAGCATTCTGTAGTTTGTTGTTAGTTACGGTTGAGTCGATTCCAACTCCAGGCCACCCCATGTGTTGAATGGACACCAAGTGAGAGATGCATTTCAGGAGGAGGGAAAGGAGATGCCTGCTGTGACTTGAGTGAGTAGCACCTGCGCTGGCAGTTACTCGGTCAGACAAATTAAAGATGCCTTCCTTCTCTTAATAGAGGATGATGGTGGCTGCTGTGCAGTATACAACTAAGTGTAATCTCAGCTCCTTGGACCCAAAATTGTCGATTTGGTATTGTAAGTCACGGATATGGAAGGGACCTTGAGGATCATAAAACCCCGTATGCCTGGACTCAGTGGGTCTGAAGTGGGAACTCGGTATTTGTGTGTTCTAAAAAGCTTCTCAGGTGATACTCCTGGTTTGAGAACACAGATGTAGATTAGGTTTCACGTTTTAGTTTATAAACAGGCTCAGAGAGATGAGATGTCATACCCAACGAGTTTGCTGCCTTCTTTAGCTTCTTTTCCTTTCCTTAACAAATAGCCTTATTTGAATCAATAGTATTGTTTCAGGTTTTGTAATGCCTTGAGATCATAAGGAAAAAAGAAAGTTCTATAAGTCAGTAGCTCTGTGTAATTCTGTTTTTATTGTTTTCTATGCAGTTAGACTTTTTAATGCCCTTTGGTGAAAGTAGTAGATATTACATTAAAATATCTCACTAAACGTTGCTTAGGCTTGCTTGTTGGCGGAATTATATAAAGACTTTTATTACTTTGTAGACAAGTTTTTGGATCGACTTTTATGCCAGACCTTAAAAAACAATGGAAAAATTCCAATTTAAGACTATTTTGGTTTTGTTTTGGCTTGTCATAAACTCCACGCACCATACATAGGCGTTTTCCCCTCTCCATCCTGATGTGCGTGACCACTTACTTTGTATCACTAGCTGGTTTCCTACCATGCAGCTCAGTTTGAGAACTTCTGGGCGCTGTTTCTCTAATTGCCTTATGAACATCTAATTTAACTAGAATCTCTCAGCATTTGCTGTAAGCATGACCTTTAATTTTTAGCCCCCTTTTCTTTTCTCGGTTAAATTGTACTACGCCACTGATTGGAAGAGTTTGGTAGATACCTAGAAAGGATCAACTGATAAGGTGGTAACAGTGCTTCCCATGCATTTTTCTTGTTATATTGAAACGTTTGTGGCTGCCTGTTTGTATAGAGTTTTCAGAATTATTAAGGTAAGTAGGCCATCAGACAGAGTTGAACATTGTCTTTAGGGAAATATTTTCATTCTCAAATTATTCTTCAAGGGCCTTCCCCATTGCTTTAGCACTTCCCACTCTGTGTTAGTAGTAGAGCCAGAAATGGACTCTAAAGGAGGAGGTTGAATTATTTTCTCTCTAAAAATGACCCTGTTGATAGCCTGTTAACTACCTGCAACCAAATAACAAAAAAGGGCATTGTAAATTCACTAACTAAAAAAGCCACGCTAACAGGGAGGTAGTCTGTGCTTTCAGAGTCTGGAGAGACATCTCTCTGGTCTGTGTCCAAGAAGAAAATCCAAGGAGTTGGGTTTCTAAATTTTTTACTTTTTGCATCTGAAATATTTTAATTCTGAAGTTTTAAAAATTGTTTTTGAATTTCAGGTTTTGACAGAGCAAACTTTATTCTTTAAATTGTGGTTTAGGTGAAAGTTTACAGCTCAAGGTAGTTTCTCATACAAAAATTTATACGTACATTGTTCTGTGACCCTAGTTGCTATCCCTATAATGTGACCGCACATTCCTGCCTCCCACCCCAGATTTCCTGTGTCCATTCAACCAGCCCCTGACCCTTTCTGCCTTCTCATCTTGCCTCTGGACAGGAACTGACCATTTAGTCTCATGTATCTACTTGAACTTAGAAGCACAGTCTTCACGAGTATCGTTTTATGTCTTATAGTCCAGTCTGTTCATTGTCTGAAGAGTTGGCTTTGGGAACGGTTTTAGTTCTAGGTTAACAGGAAGTCTGGGGTCCATGTCTTCCAGGGTTCCTTCAGTCTCAGTCAGACCATTAAGTCTGGTCTTTTTACTAGAATTTAATTTCTGCACCCCACTTTTCTTCTGCTTCGTCAGGGACTCTCTCGTGTTCTCTGTCAGGGTGGTCATTGGTGGTAGCCGGGCACCATCTAGTTCTTCTGGTCAGAGCAAACTTTTTAAGTAGAGGTATTTAGGAAGAATAGGTATGAATCCAGGGTCACAATTTCAGTCTACACTGGTATTACAGATTTAATGTTGAAACAGATGCAGAGGTGAGGGATGAGGGGGAATAACAACTTGAAGACCCAGTGAAAAGTGGAGTCCAGAAGTCACTTGCTGTTCCTTGAGGCAGTCTTCTGTTTGTGTAAGGAACTACAAGGACCAAAATTGGACACTGTCTGGCTGAACATGATGAAAGTATCACCAGTAAGTAACACAAATGTGCAAGTCTACTATCTCAGTCTTAATCTTTTCTCTGGTTCCTTCACGCCCTCTGATGCCAATTAAAAAAACCAGTTGTTGATTCTGACTCATGGTGACCCCATGTGTGTCAGAGTAGTACTGTGCTCCATAGGATTTACTTTTCTTTTTAAAAATAATTTATTTTATTTTTGTTGTTGAAAACATACACAGCAAAACATAGACCAATTCAACAATTTCTACATATACAATTCAGTAGCATTGAGTACATTCTTCAAGGTTGTACAGCCATTCTCACCCTCCTTTTCTGAATTGTTCGTCCACCATTAACATATACTCACTGCCTCCTAAGCTTCCTATGTAACCTTTCAAGATACTGTTGTCAGTTTGATCCTGTATAGATAGATCTTAAAAGAGCATGATGTTCAAGGCACACATTCTTTACTTGTTAAGCTAAACTATTGTTTAGTTTTAAGAAGACTTCAGGAGATTTTTTGTTTTAAGGTTTAAGGATTATCTCAGGGCAGTAGTTTCAGGTGTTCATCCAGCCTCTGTGGCTCTAGAAAGTCTGGATTCCATGAGAATTTGAAATTCTGTTCTGCATTTTACCCCTCTTGATCAGGATACTTCTATAGACTATTTGATCAAAATGTTCAGTAGTGGTAGCCGGGCACCCTCCAGTTCTACTGGTCTCATGACAAAGGAGCAGTTGTTCATGGAAGCAGTTAGCCTCATATTCCATTTCCTGCTTCTGTTCTTGATTCTCCTTCTCCCTCTGTTGCTCCAGGTGAATAGAAAGCCATTGTACCTTGGATGGCTGCTTGCAAGCTTTTAAGACCCCAGACACTGCACAACAACTAGGAGGTAGAACAGAGGCACTAAACACGATATTAAAGCAGTTAACTTGGCTGTCCCATGAAGCCATGACCCTAAACCTCCAAACCAAGAAACCAAATCCCATGAGGTATTTGGTTGTACACAAGCAGCCTCAGCAGCTGCCCGTTTTTGTTGTTATTGTTTTAATAATATATATCATACAACATTTGCCAGTTAAATTTTTTACACGTGTACAATTTATTGACATCAGTTACCGTAATCGGCTGTGCAGCTATTATCCTTAATCATTGTGAATTTCCCATCACTATAAACATAAACTCAGTGTTTCACAAGCAGTAACTCCTCCTTTCCCCCTCCTCCCATCCCTAGTAACCGCTGATAAACTTTGGTCTCTATACGTTTGCCTGT